GGTTGCTGACACTTAACGTGAAAGAGACGACTGTCAAGTCCATCCGTAATGCAAGATCAATTTAAATACAATCAATACCTGTTTCAAATGATTGTCAGTTGGGCAAATACCGAAGCGACGACGAGGTAAAGCACAACATGTGTTCAGTATTTAAGAAAGAGTGTCACAGACACGATAGGCCACTCTCCGGCCGTCTCTTCTCGGGGAAGACCGAGAGAGCGCCGAAAATCGAGCCTGATTTTGTCCGCGGCGCCTTTGAAGATCGATTGTCCGGCCTGGGACAAAATTTGTAAAATTACGACAAACCATCGCGTTTGTTAAGCGTCGGCGATGACATGAAATCTGTCTAAATAAAGAGCTTTTTCGCTAGGGTGGATAGGCCCTTCGGAGCATTTAGTCGCTTTCTTGACACTACCGTATCTTGTTCGATGAGTTTAAAAATGCAAATTATGAAGAAATCTCACGAGACTCTATGCTCCACGCAATTCTCAATGACTGCTTCTTAATTCGTAATACTCGATTTCGCAAAAAATCGAGAATTGCAGCACACTGTCAACTTACGTTTTAACGGTACTGAATGCGTATTCTAAACCAAACAGTTGAGTCACGTTCCATCTCACATCACAAAAAACCTGTTTTGGCTTCGTTGTGGACCAGCGATGTCATGTGACCAAAGAAAAGTCATGTGATAAAGGAAAACAATGCTAATACATATGCACGAACTTTAACCAAGACATAAGGAGTAAGGGGCAGGAGGATTTGAACAATTATGGGTACCTATGGATAAATCCTGGCTATACCTTTGGAGTGCAGAAACAGATTGGACTGCATGTCATTCGAGCGGGCAAAGAAGTAGCGCGTATTTACATAGAATCTTTTACCTAGTATCTAACTATTTAACTTAGCGCATTTTTTGTTTCTTCGTTACGCTTTCAATTTAGAAATTTGTTTTGCACAAACTTTGTCGAAATTCTGGAGCTAAGTGTTTCCGAGCATGGCATAGCATGAAGACCTACCTTTTCAGAAAGGAATGTTGTCGAGATAAATTTAAACAATTTTTTTTAAACATTAGAAATTGACTTAAAAGATTATAATCAATTATATTTTAAGGTTTTATTTAATTTTGTTAAAGTTTAACTTTGATAGGAAATTTTAGGATTTGATCATTTCATAATCAATTGTACATATTTTTAAGGTTCATTTTTTATGCTATTAATGTGAAGCGCTTGTGGACTTTTTAGGAATAAGCGCTATATGAATAAATTATATTGTTATTATTATTATTATTATTATTATTATTATTATGATTTTGCAGTATTACGTAAGAATGCAAACTGTTAACCACGTGTGACGCACAGCGTAGCCTATGTGGCCTAAAAGGAACTAGCTTACTCTAGAAAACGAACTTTGGCATGAGATACAAAGGCAAAATTTAAAAAAATTTAAATAAAACGGAAAGATAAAAGTGAAGATAATAAAATACAACTCATAAATAAAGCAAAAAATGATATTAACCCTAAAAAGCACTTGAAACGTCACTACTGCGTTCCCTGCAAGTTTCGACTTGAAATTATTATTATTATTATTATAATCATAACTATAAGAAAATTGTCAAATCTGATTGGCTATCAACTGCCCTGATTTCAGCCTTAATTGAACAATTTAATAGCAGAGTAAACGTTATCACGCGCGCGCTTAAATGGCTTTTTTAACTACTAGCAAAAAAAATTGGAATTTCTTCTGTTTTGATTTTAAAAAGGGCCTTACATATTACAAATTTTGTTAAAGTTATGATTAATTGGTAACAGCTTCGTGTCGTCCAATTCAGTCTGTAATCATAACTATAACAAAATTGTCAAATCTGATTGGCTATCAACTGCCCTGATTTCAGCGTTAACTGGACAGTTTAATAGGACAGTACGCGTCATGCCCAAGTAATTGGACAGTACGCGCCATCACGCGCGCGCTTAAATGGCTTTTTTTTCACTGCTAGCAAAACAAAATTTCGAATTTCTTGTGTTTTGATTTACAAAATAGCCTATAGAGTGTTTTCACATGACGTCACGGCGGCCATATTGGTGTCCCAAAACAATGAAACGGCGGCCATGTTGGTGTCCCAAACCAATCCGCTGGGAGTTGAACTCTTTTCTTATGCAAACGCTTTCTTTTGTTTCAATAAATTTGCACAGATGCTGGCCACGTGAGTGAAAACACTCTATTATATCACAAATTTTGTTAAAGTTATGATTAATTGGTAACAGAACTTCGTGTCGTACAATTCGGTCTGTAAAAATACTCGTGATTAAACAAATCGGACTCCCGCTGCGCGGTCGTCCGATTTTGTTAATCACTTGTATGATTACAGACCGAATTGGACTCCACTCAGTCCTGTTACCATTACTAATCATACTCGTCCGATTTTGTTAATCACTCGTATGATTACAGACCGAAGTTGGACTCTACTCAGTCCTGTTACCATTACTCATTATTATTATTATTATTATTATTATTATATATTATTATTATATATTATTATTATTATTATTATTATTATTATTTTGCTATTTTGAAGTTAAATGCCTCCGTTTGGCTTTGAAAATTGTCGCCTGCATACCATCCTATGGCCGCAAATGGCCAAGTTCACACCATGACATCATGATACTTTCCATGATCTGGACTCTTTTTAGGTATCTTGTTATGTGTTTCCACGCTGGTTTCCTAAAGTATTAAAAAAATACATTACGGATGGAAAGATATCTTGAGATTGACTTTATGTTGCGATACCTACTGTCGACTCCCGACAAGTCGAACCTTCAAGGGAAACCAACAAAATTTCGATTTATCGGGAGCTCGAAGGAAATAGCCAGAGGTAAGAGAAAAACCGGAGTTTACTGTACAATGAATATTTTTGTCACATTTAATTCCAGAAATGTGAAATGAAAATTGAAAAAGACTTCTAGATTATAAAGTATAAGAACGTAAGGTAACAAAACAAAGCCTCAAATATAAATAGAGCATGCGTTTTACTTTTTTGAGAAGTAAAGCTGTTTCACGTTTTGTGACAATCAAAATCAGCCTACAACACTGAGACAAATGACATGGGAAATTTACTGAAATTCGATGTTTCGGGAGCCAGTACACTGCTTTTTTTTCTCGACTTTTTTAGCGTTCAATACATGGTTCGAGTTATCGATGCTACAGTTCATAAGCATCATATAGCTGCTTTTCAGTGTCACGCCATTCAAAATAGATCAAAATGAAAATCAAAACCGTTTAGCCCTCTTGGCAGTCATGTAAATGCCCGTGTCACGCAAAAGCTTAGAAATTCAAGCGTACTCTATCACAAAACCAAGAACCCTTTTGAAGCGAAAATTTGTATTAAAATTAGTTTTCAGCTGCTCTAATTCATCGTGAAAGTAAAATTTCGGTAGGATCGATAGTTTTTTTAGTTTGAATTTTAGTGATGTCATGTGAAAACCAACAATAGAAATGATCTGAGGGGAAACAAAAATTACTTATAGTTAGCGGGAGGTTCGAGTTATCGAGGAATCGACTTACCGAGGGTAAATTACAGTGAATGTATGAGGGAAATCCAAGGGAAATTGATTCTGGTTCGAGTTAGCGAGGGTTCGAGTTTTAGAAACTCTTTATTAAGATTTCGGGCGACTTAATCGGCAACCCTATGCCCATACGAGTCTGTTCGAGCAGAGTTGATAAATTGCAATGGTTATGAAACCTATCTGACTTCTTAGTCAAAGGATTCTGGCCTTGACCGTGCACATCTTTCAGTTGTGGCACTGTTGTTTTTCATCTTTGATGTTTGCTAATTTTTTAAAGCAATTCTTTTATAATTACTATCGTATGGGATTGTTCAAATAAAGTCATCGACTGATCCCTTTGTTAATTGATCCAGTCCGAAGACAGTATCTGACGACTGACAATCTACTGTTTTCCCAAACAAACAAAAAAACACAAAAAAATGTTGCCATTGCTTTAGGCATTCTCCGGGTTGGAGAATTAAAAATGGCTGAAATAGGGCCCGTCTGATTGGCCATCAGACAAGAAACGTTAAGACTAGGCCATTTGCACTAAGAGGTTAAGTGACATCGTTTTTATGAAAATGAAAGTTATATGATTTTTCCTTCAAAAAACGATTAGTGGGTTATATCTTAAACAAAATAATAGTGATTTGGTTTTTCAAACCCGCTCGATTTTCTTTACATGAGTAAGATCGTGGCAGGTCACGTGACCAAAACTGGCCAAGTTTTAAAATTATGAATTAGCTCTTTCTGAACACAAATTTTGCATTTAAACTTTAAGGAAAATGTTGAAAAATGACATGGTAACGTTTACAGCACATCTGAGCGTAACTATCAAACGTTTAACGAGATATAAGAACAAAGTAGTTTTGGCCGCCATGTTTTGGCCGCCATGTTTCTGCGTTGTTGAAAAATCAAAGTGCCATAACAATTAATATCTCCCTTGGATGAGTTTCTCTCAAACTTCGGGTGTAAGATAATTTTTATGTGCTCTGTCAATTTTTGGCATCAGCAAGATTCCAACTCATTGTTTAAAGCAAGAATTGGTCACGTGACCTCTTAATGCAAGTGGCATCTTGCTTTATTATCACTCTTTCCGCATTACAAATTTCGGCAAGAAAATTTTATGCGAATTACTTTCCTTGCGACAAAGGCGATTAAAAAATTTCCATTTCCTACACCTAACGAAGAAATTCTTACCCTGCGAGCAGCGGTTTCTCCAGGCCGGACGCTACGCTACTAAGGGAAAGAAACCACTGCGAGCAACCGTTCTCTTTTCCATCAAGCATGCGCGTCCACGTGATGCCTACGTCAAAACGTCAAATGGCGTCACTGTTTTACGGTTAAATGTTAACCCCTTGAGACCCCCCTCAGGATAGCACTTTACTTTAGATGCAAATAAGTCAATGACGTGATACGTGGCAGAAAATACTAACATTTTTAACATCATTCTTTCAAGTCTTAGTTTGACACCACCTTTGTCTGTACTGGAGAAAAATCAGGAGAATCTTTATGGTCTTTATTTCTTTTCAAAACATCTTGCAGTTGAGATATCAGCTCCCTTAATTGTCTGTTGTTGCCTGGACTCTCCGCTTCGAATCCTGGAGGAGCGTAGGGCTGGGGCTTTGACTTGTTAATAGTGGTAAGATACCGCTGGATCAAGCGAGTAATCACTTTGTGACGCTGAAAATGAAAAAGAGTATAAGTATTCATTTGACATTAATGACGACGGTTTATTTGGCAATTGCTTTCAGTAACGAGGATCGAGTCGGTTTTAATATTTCGTAAAAAAAAATACTTCATAAGGTAACGACATGTACAAAATTAAAGAAATACGAAAAATAAATAAACAAGTAAATAAATAAATGCATTAATTATCTTTATTATCTTCGGTAGAATTTATAGCAAAAAGCTTAAGTGCGCCTGAGCAAATATATGAATGAAGGAATTCACAAGCAACATATAGAACAACGCTCGGAATCCAAACTGATAAAGGACAAACCAGTCGGCTATTTACAAGCGTGAGTTAAGAATTTAAGTTTTGGGATACTGAGTAACAAACCCCTTTAGTTCTTAGGGCGGGACCTCGAACCCGGGACGACCTGACAGTCCTCTGACTGCAAGGCCACGCTGCTTCCGAAAAACCGGTTATTCTGGTTATTCCGGTTATTTTGGTGTTAATGCTAATCAGACCGCTCATTTCAGCGGGAACATTCTGCTAAAAAAAGGAATACGCTCTGATTTACTAACATTTTTTCTTGCTATCAATAAAATAGCGGAAACATCCGGCTTGTACCATTAATTTGCACTATTACGTAGGGAACCATAGCAACTACTTAACAAAGCTAAGGAAAAGGTCACTTGGAAAACAACAACAACAACAACAACAAACAAACAAACTTGAGGTTTTCTGTGGCATATAATTTTGTTAAGTTTGATTTATGAAAAAACCTATTAAATTGGTTCATTTGAAATGGTTAATTTCCAGAGAAATGCACGGAAATGCAAAATGCTCCTGGAAAAGTTTCTTTCGTTTGGCTGATCTAATTTATGTTAGTATATACACACTCAGTGATCTTGGTGATTTAAGCCATCTGATTGGTCCGCTATCTCGGACTATTCAACAATATTCACCTCCTAGAGAGTGGAATAATGTGTGAGCTCGGTGTCTTTCCCATTTTTTTAAAGAATGAACTTTTAAAAGCCGACAGAATCCTAGGGTTGACTTTTTTAAGGTAAGACAAGACTTCAAAGGATTCAAAACGGCGTTTTTCTATTTACTGTAGCTGAGTTTTGTGCTCGATTGATTGTTTACAATTCTCTTTTATTCGCGTAAAAGAGACCGTTTCGTGAACTCAGCGTTTCCTAACAAGAAACATTTGGCCCAAAATCGAAGTATATTTATGACAAACAAATTTGAAAGAAAATGTTTGCAGAAATTCTACGTTTCCAGTAAATAGAAAAAAGAATGCTACCGGAAGACGACGTCTTACTTCGAGCAACGAAGCCGTCATTTTTTTATTTTTTCAGCACTTCATGCGAAGAACGACACAAAAAACCTTTTTGACTCTAAACTTCGCGAGTCAACAGAAAACAACAAAGCTATACTTTTCTTCGCATGTAAGGAAACAATTAAAACTTTTAACGGTTCCATTTAAGCCATTACGCTGTTGTTTGCGAAGTGATAAACTTGTGAATTGCCATGTTTGAAAATTCTGCAAAGATCTGTTTTGAAACTTTTGCGTGATTTGATCCGTCAATCAGATCGTACGTTTTAACGGTTTCCTCTCTGATTTTGTTGAGACCACTTCGTGTGTATATACTAAAACAATTATTCTTTTCAATTTCGGTAAATTGTGGCTTTAGGAATATTTACCTCGCCGCTTCGCGACTCGGTAAATATATTTAGCCACTATTCACCTCGATTTTAAAGAATAATTGTTAATTGTAAGTGGCCTTACGAAAATGTTCCACCCGACAGAACATTTTTACTCGTTTTTCATACAAATTTCATACGCCCAATCTTTTATCATTGGTCGTACGAGTTTGCGAAAACAAATAGAGAGCAACCACACCGACATGCATTCTAAAGTAAGGTATCGTTAATGTTATTGAAGGCGCCATTTCGCTGCCTAAAGAAAGATGCCTCATAAGAGGCCGACGTTCCAGTTATACACTTACCCTCTGCATGTCCGCCTTTTTTCTTCTGGATTCAGACGCTGATGGAAAGCTTCCTTCACGGCTTTCTCGCTGAAATACAAAAAGTAAATAATAAGAATAAAGAAAAAACGTCCGTGTGCGGTGGGGATCTAGGTGTGGGGCCCTGGTGATGTAATGTTACATCAAAATGAGGCCCACGGGGAAGAGAGAAATTATTTACAGAGCTTGTTTCCCTTCTGATCTCACCTCGTGGATCTAAGAAATTCTGTAATGAAAAGAGTGAAAATGTCATTGTCTGAACATAATGAGATAAATGTAAAGATATATTTGGCAAGTAAAGACATGAATTAATTGCAGGGTTCGGAAAGGCGAGATACCTCAATTTCCGATTCTAGATTTTTAGGTATCAGTGTAGATTTTAGGCAATAGATCAAACGAATGAAAGAAGGTGTTAAACTAGCTTCTTTTGTACGTACGTACCACAGAAGACCTATGACGCGAGCACAGTCTGCGGCAGAGTTTAAACACCCAGTGTGGGGCAGGAATGAGGTTGAATGGAGGCGGCATTACATTGCCATGATCTAAATACGGCATCCACATCCGGGTTCTGGAGAATTTCCATTGAATATCTGCGTCATCCTATAACGAAATACAAAATTGAGCAGCCACAGTTAAAAGACAGCACCGGAAGACAGTATACTATGAACTCTATACACAATTACGACGTACAAACGTAAGCATAAACAGAGGCCTAAGGACCACCACATTTCCTCGCAAACTTCAGAAAAACTTCAGAAAAAGTAAACAGGTCGGGAGTAAAGAAGAACGACTTGTCATTTAGAGATTAAAAAGTAACCCCAAAAGATATTCCTGAGGCAGTTATAGTAAATGAATGAGCGCTGGAAAGTGAAAAGTGGAGAAACTAACCTTCGGCAAGGATTCTTTGGAAATGCAGTCTTTCATTATTTATAGCAAGACAACCTCACACTCTCTGAGAAACAGGCCTGTCTTACAGCACACTCCTCAGTTGATATCACGTGAATCAAAGCAAAGGGGAAAATTTTCGATAGTGTATATTATAGTAGGAAGGTCTTAAGAGCGACGGACAGGAAAATCAAGCGAAATCACCATCTTGATTTTGAGTCAAGAGTGGACAAATCAATTTCTTTAATTCTTTATCCAAAATTAGATTTTTGGTACCTTAGAAACCTGATGTAAACTGTTCACGCCAAAGGCCTTTTATTTGCAAGGATTATTAGAAAAAAAACGGTGTCAGAATTAATGGCGTAGATTTTAACCTGAAAATCGCTGACATCAACTTTCCTCTTGTCCGCAGACAGAGTCGCATGCAGAAATTTGGATACTCTCTATCAACAGACTTTCCATCGACAAAAACTTTTTGCGAGACCAAACAATAGCAGCAGATTTCTTATCTACCTAAAAGCTAATCGACAATTGAGAGAGAAATCCCTTTGTGTCCTGCTACTTGATGATCCGGATTGCCTGATCGTCACCCTCAATTGTTCCAAAGAATTCTGTTTTAAATATAAAAAATGAGAGGAAATGAAAAACGTAGAGATTTTTGAAAGCGTTACCGCCAAACGGACCTTTTGCGTCAAACAGTTTTTTTTCGGGCAAAAACTATCTTCAAAGGAGCCATTACAAAAACCAAGAGTTCAACCATTGCTTTTTTTCTCTTCTCCTCCTTTCTTCCATCTCGGTTTTTTTCCTTTCCTTTTCCTTTTTTTAGTGTTCTTTTGCAACTTATAGGGCCCAAAAAGTCTGCCTTTTGACGCCTTTTCACTTAAATGACTGCAACTCTCGTTAGGTTGGTTTTAAAGATATATATATATATATATATTTTTTTTGAAATGGCCGAAATGAGAAAATGTCTTTCTTACAGAGATAAAGTTTAAATGACTACTTATGATCATTGGAACTACTAAACTAATTCAATTTACAATACACTGTATACGTCTTACAGGGTCTTACAGGTCTGGAAAAAATCAGCGCTTTCCATTCAGCCCAAAGTTTCGGAAATTTCGGTTAGAATTCAAATCGAACGATCCATTTCCGGGTTCGGTTGGACAGGAATATTTGGGACCACCTTTGAAGGTAGCCCACTTTGATTGCCCCGGTCCGTGACAAAATTGTTGTCCCCAGTACCGCTCCTCTGTATCCTCCTTTTAAGTACAAAGACCAACCGCTCCGGGGCTTGGGTCGTGTCCGTGGAACCAGAGCGTACCGTTCCATCAGGCTAATTGAATTTCCGAAATTTCAAACCAGAAAAATTTTGTTCAATGGAAAGCATTCCACCATAAAAGTTAGACTAACCGCGACTTGCTGATAAGAGTTTGACATCATGGCAATCAGCATATTCATGGCGACCAGAACTGATACGATGTTGAACAGGGCAAGGAGTAATTCACCGGTGACCTGAGTGATGAAGAAGCCTGAACCTGTCACGGCCAAGTCGCTCACCTCGGACATTCCAAACAAATTCCAAAACAAGAACCTCACGCCTCCTTCAACTCTGAAAGGATCAAATTGTGGGTGAAAACGTAATTTGTTAAAGCTACAGTTGATTCCCAAAGCAGACGCTTTACTGTAAAGTCTTTCTTTCAGTATGGATGAAAATCAGGGGTGTACCCTTTTCAATGAATCTTCTTTGGTAATACTGTGACACGGTAACATTATTTTGCTTTGTAGTTCTTTACAAAATTTGACTTATAATTTGCTAAGAGTCCTCTCCTAGACTTTAACAAGCAATAACATTATGACTTAGCCCGTACTCTAGCAGGTTCAATTGGAAACATACGTCCAATATAGTTTTAATTGAGTTTAATGACATTATTTCTTCTAATGGTCAAGAAATGTCCAGTTGTCAAGTTTTATCTGTCAACTGTGCATCAGATATAAAAAGAATGAAATAAAATGAAGCAGGTCAGCCTGTATTCAGGTCGTTGAAAGGAAAAAAAATCCCGGTCTGAATTGGTTAGCACGTGTTCCGAAAAGTCACCAACTTGCGCGTTCAATCTTATCGCGTACTTAGTGCATAACCCAAAGCCATTTTTTACATCTCAAATTACCTTGGGTCGCAGTGCGCAATCGGTTAATCCCTCAACTTAGGGTCTCATCTGATCTGACGGCTCACACGTGAGTCGGTTCAAACCCTGGGCAAGCCAGGATTAATAATTATTTCTTCCTCGAATACATGAGAACTCGAAGTGATGTCGAGATCAAGATATCTCGAACTAATTCAGCTCTCAGTTCATCAAATAGCTGAATAACACCGAAAACCTACGGACTTTACTTGCCCAATCTTGTCTGAAAAAAGCAACTTTGGGACATCTCTGAGCGTCACGAATCCTTTACTTCGCGCTCCGCAGAAGTAATAATGGATTGTCTAACCCCAGTAACTCATGATAGCGTCCCTGAAGGCGATAAATACTTACTTTGCAAATTTATGTGTTGTATTTGCCACAGATTTTGTTCTGGCATGGACGTAACTCGAGTACACCTTTCTTTCCGCCCAGGCGAATGCAAGAAACAGCAGCAGGAACAGGAACAAAAATTTGACGATGTCTCGAACCATCTTGACAAGGGAAAGCTGCAGCGGGCCGAGCATCGAGTTGACCTGAAATGAGTTGGAAATGTGAAAAAAGGCCAAAACCATACCGAACGCAAAAAACGCATTGGACAGTAGGATCGATCGATAGTCCAGCTTCTTCGCACTGGCTTCCTTAACTCCTGAAACAATCATAAGATGTCCGATGAACCAAAGCACTCCTGAAACTACAAAGAGAGCCAGCATAATGAGGGTGACCAAATTCCAGTACTGCGACAGGTAACGCTCTTTTCCTTGACGATAGGCCTCTTTTGCTTCCTGAAACAGCATACCAACGACCCACAATGCGATAAAAGCATCTACAAGATAAAAAACGTCCTTTGCATCATTATTTTATAACAGAATACACAGAAAAACTCTCACCCTGAAAACTTTAGTATACATTAAAAATAACCTGTTTCTGATTAGCCATCCAAACAGATGTTCTTAGGGCGTCGTAACTCGTTCCCTGGGTGTGAGGATTAGTTCTTATTGGCTTTCTAGAAAATAAATAATAATAAGACCGCAAATTGCAAGATACTGTTGTTTCCTGTGTTTCTGTCGCTTAAAAATATGCCATGCTTGAATGCCCAGAACGCGTGCTTTCAAACTACTGTGACTTGAAACAAATAATAAAAGACTGCTCGCAGTATATCCAGGAAAATGCTCTCGATGTTTCGATGCAACGTCAAGAAAGAAAAGGAATTGACAATCTAGCTTTATTCTTTGGAAAGGCGTTTGTAACAGCACATAAACACTACTTGGAATCTCATGAGAATTGAAGACACAAGTGCGAAGATTGAGACAGTAATAAGATTTCGTTATTGAAACAGGAGTAGAAGGAGGGAGAACAAGACAAATGTATTGGTGTTGGTGATGGTAATAATGCAATAGAAATGTGGTGGTGTTGGTGGCGGTGGTGGTGGTGATGGTGGAAAACAATAGAAATGTGGTGGTAGTGGTGATGGTGGGAGCAATAGAAATGTGGTGGTGTTGGTGGTGGTGGTGATGGTGGAAAACAATAGAAATGTGGTGGTGGTGGTGGTGATGGTGGAAAACAATAGGAATGTGGTGGTGGTGGTGGTGATGGTGGAAAACAATAGGAATGTGGTGGTGTTGGTGGTGATGGTGGAAAACAATAGGAATGTGGTGGTGGTAGTGGTGATGGTGGAAACAATAGAAATGTGGTGGTGTTGGTGGTGATGGTGGAAAACAATAGAAATGTGGTGGTAGTGGTGATGGTGGAAACAATAGGAATGTGGTGGTAGTGGTGGTGATGGTGGGAAACAATAGAAATGTGGTGGTAGTGGTGATGGTGGAAACAATAGGAATGTGGTGGTGGTGGTGGTGATGGTGGGAAACAATAGAAATGTGGTGGTAGTGGTGATGGTGGAAAACAATAGAAATGTGGTGGTGGTGGTGGTGATGGTGGAAAACAATAGGAATGTGGTGGTGGTGGTGGTGATGGTGGGAAACAATGGACGTGTGGTGATGGTGGCTATGGTTGGAAACAATGGAAATGTGGTGGTGTGGTGGTAGTGATGGGAAACAATAGAAATGTTGTGGTGGTGGTGTTGATGGTGGGAAACAATAGAAATCTGGTGGTGGTAGTGTTATGTTCTTTCATTAACTATAAAAGAAAAGACTAGACTCTAGTAGGTAGTAATGAATATTAATAAAGAAATAGATTTTAGTAACGAGATGAGACCATCAGCTTCCCGACCTCTTACCTATCCCAAAGCCCGAATTAAATGCAACATTTAGACTACTTTGTAGTATTCCTTACTATGCATTCGATCTCCTGAATTCCACGTTCAAAATAAGGGCGCTTAACCATGAGGGAACACCAACAAAGACTGTTGATCAAACTACATTTGGTACAAATTCAACAGCGACCAACAATAATACAGATGTTTTCGTGCATTTTTCATATCCAGAAATTTTTGTATGTTAAATGTTTGAAATATGTTTCTTTCTTTTTATACTTTGGTTATCATTGTTGCTATTTTTAACTGAAAATATTTTGCGCGCCATATTGATATATATTGATATATATTTTATTTATTTATTAATTCAGTTTATTAACAGTAGGTCTACATCAGTATTTCGCTGCCATTTTAGCAAACCTTATTTATCAAATAAAGTACTTCTACTATTACTACTACTACTAACCGGCCAAACCTTGATCGAAACCTTTTGTCAAAAGTTCTGCTGACCCTCAACATAAAAACAACTTATCAAAAAAAAAAACAGAAAATGTTTACCTAAGGGTGAAAAAGCAAAGACATCGTCAAGGAACTTGTCTTGAATCGAGGAGAGAATCAAGAGAACAAGGAACCAGAGAAACGAGGCGGTGTGACTCATGAATTTGAGGACTGGTGTGTTTAGGAGTTTGCTGATTCGACATTTGGGTGCTACCAAATAGCACAGTGCAAAGAAAGGTAGCATCAGCCACAGCAGCAGGAAACAGACGGTACTCTTTAAGAAATTTAGGTCTTTATATCCCCTTAAGTCATCGTAGAGCACAGAATTCAGCATCATTTGGCTATAAGGATGGGCCACAAACTAACAGAAAAAGTACAAACAGTTAGCGGCTAAATGATGACCACGGTCGCCTGATGCAATAAGCCTCACAGGCGAAACCAAAAACGGTTTCCTACTAAATACAGTACATTGAAAAACATTTTAGGCTATCCAGAGTACTTTAAGATCTCTGGTAATGCATTCTAAGCGGCGTTTTAAAATTTGCAAGTGTTCGATGGTCCTCAAGGTAACTTGAGTCTTTTTGAATTCACAATGGCAGTATCAGTTTCCCGACTTTTAGGTACAGTTTAGAATTTTAAGAACGTGAAAATTTTTCTGATTCCCCTCTCCATCTCGTTTTCGAATTTTTACGAAATATAGCTTAACCTGGGGAGTGAAATGTGAAAAATCAAAGTGCAGAATATAGTTAAGAATTTATTAGATACGCTTAGAAAATCGTCCATGAATGGAAAGGTCATCTAGAAATCTTTAGCTCCCCTCACTTTAGAAAATGCCAGGCAATATTTGCTTCTTTGAACAGGTATGTTACACAAAACAGTCGTTGGGTGCCCCTGGCTTAAAATGTCGCAACCTTTTGTCTGCCGAGAAAGGCTTAGCAAGTATAACAATCTGTCATAAACAGAATTTTGAGCAATCTCTTTGGGGTGGAGTGTTTTAATTTAGGTATTTGGAAGGGGTACCTTTTTCAATGAAGGTATATACGAGTGTGTCATTTCTAACAAATCATGTATATAAAAGGGTAAGAGATTGGACTTCTGTTCTTCATCAGTAAAATACAGAAATTTGTTCATTATAGTCTCAGCAGTTTTCATATTTTGCCCCATGTCAAATACCAGATTTCTATATTCTGCATGGAAATTTAAGTTATATGTATGTCATATATAAAAAGTTATTCTTCTGCATCATTTCAGATATGGAAATTGCCATTGCAGAGTCTATTGTTTTTTTAACTGGTTAAGCCTCTCCGTATAACGTAAAATTTTGTTGAGTACACTCCCGGTTATATCTACCCTCTCTTGTGGCTCGACCGAGTATTTTTGTAGGTACACCTTCCATCTTTGAATCTCTCATACTTAAACAAATTGATCTTTCTTGTAAAAAGATTATACATTATAACACATGTATTACACATAGACTAAACTTTATTATGATACTATATTTTTGGCGATCGGAATATCACGTGACAATGACGTCACAATAGTTTTTTTTACGATCAAGTGAAAACAGCGTTCCAATTCCGCTTACGACTCTGTCGCTTACGTTCCGCCTATGATCTAGTGAAAACTAGACCGTGAGAGTCGGAAGCAGAAGCAGAAGAACTAAACCAATCACAAAGCGTGGGAACATGCATTCTTCCGCTTCTGCTTTCGACTCCGACAAACTGGTTTTCACTAGATCATAGGCGGAACGTAAGCGACGGAGTCGGAAGAAATGGAAACGTTCTGATTCTTCTGACTGATTCCGTCGCGCATATGACTCCGTTTACGACTCCGATTTTTGATTTTCACTAGGCCATAAGCGCTCTTACGACTCCGCTTACGACTCCGACTCCGACTCCGTCGCTAGTGAAAACCAGCCTTAAGGCTACTTTCACGAAAACAGTGATAAAATCAAAATTCGTCGATAGATTTTTGTTAAAAAATTCAGTGTTGCAAATTCATTAGTGTATAATAGTTATCTAACGTAGGCCCCAAATTCCCATGCAGCACTCGAGAATATACCGTGCTTGGTTGCCCTCTGAAATCTTTCCAAGAAACAGTAATGCTGTAGAACGGGAAAAAACAATTACAATAGCGAATAGATTACGGAGGACAACCAAGCGTGGTTTCTCGCGTGCTTCATGGGTATTTGATGTCGTGCTAATTTCGGGGTATATGTTGTATGTTGTAATTGAATCCGCTCTTAGGTTATGAGAAATGTGTTTCAGAACTTGTGCATTTACAGTCCACGTATATATAATGTGTGGCATAACTGTTTGTTGAGGATGTGTGGGGACTGACATGCAATTGCAGTGTAAATGAATTTAATGTTTTTAGCCAATTTTATGAAAGCAGCACCTCTTATCTAGGTTACGGTAACCAAGCACGAAAATTCACAAAATTAAAAATAAATATTTATGCGTTATTGACTAAGTGCAAGGTCAAGATGGATGGATATCGGCCAACAAATTTCTGCCTGCTCGCCAAATAAGCCATATTTGAATACTCACGTCTAATCCAGCAATTCTCACCTTCTCATTCTTATTAGTGATGGCAAAATTAAGCACGCTTAGTTTCTTGGCTTCTGTTCCTCCTCGAACCTCAACGTATTTAAGTTTTTCAATTCCCGGCACACTCATCAAACAGCGGATTTCTTCCATCGTTCGGCATTTCTTGAGGAGCGATACAGCGAATTCTTCGCAACTACTTATGAGCTTCTGGTATTCATTCTTAAGCTCGTATTCCACTTTCACAAGCTTTTCCAATTTCCGGTTTAAAAGGAGTGCGCGGATGATCGGGTCTTTGGATGATTTTATGTCTTGATCTTTACTGGGTGGAGTGTCGAGTAAATAAGACAAACACAAGTAAATGGGGCTCGCGAGCGCTTGGTAGCAATGCAGACGATGAATGGAACCCCCAAGACGGCCTGGCCCTTCACATGTATCGCATTTGCAAGATCGTTTGTGCGGCTCGTCAATTGTGTAATGTTTCTCAAGAAAGATCTTCACGATCTCTTGATTATCCTTTTTCGCAGCCAAAATTAAAGGCGGGATGTGCGGCATGTGCTCACTACCGTCTACCTGATTTGGGCTTGCTCGTTGTGACGTAGTTTCTGATGCTCCGTTGCTTATTGCTTCCTTCTTAAGTAAAGCCTCCACCCAGAATGTCGATTCAATTCCGACGGCATGTAGTAACGCCTTGCCGACATCTGCTCCTTGGTTAAGAAGAAGTTTGGCAATATCGTGATAGTTGTTGTTCACTGCTATTTGAAGAGCCGTTTCTCCGAGAAGGTTTACACAGTTCACATCAACAGACTTCTGCAAGATATATTCGCGCACTTTGTTATAGTTTCCGGCATTAACCGCTTCTAGGAATCCTTTTTGATCTTCACTTAGCTCAGTCTCCCGTAGGATACTCCGAAAGCTCTGCAAGGCTTAGTTCAATTTCTCTCGCCATCGTTCTTTCTTCTAAACACCCTTCGATAACTTTCTGCAGCAACAAATTAGCTGACAATATTGTATTCTCAATCCCATTTCTCTAATTTATTACTCCGCGCAAAACCTATCAGAGATCAGTTCTTAATTCAGAACTTGTCATGTTGGATCGACGTCAATGCTATTTATCCTTCTCAACTAAAATAAATGTAAGTGCCTGGTTATTTATAGCCCACATGCGTCGGCGCGGTACCTTCCCTGCAGGGGAAGAGGAGTACGGCAACACGAAGGCTACTGCAAATTACACAAATCAAAGGTGATTAATAGCCACCGGCATCACTACAGGTAACCCAGGCTCAGTGATAGTACCACAGTACAGTGCCAGTAACATTACAGTGTTTGTATGGGGTAAAAATACGATCGTAAAACCTGTAGGAAATACTCACAGAGCTTTGGTTACCAGTGGCAACACAAGAAGTGGCAGCTACTTACTACAGGCATCCTCTTGAAGAAATTCATTCAGCTCGGAACAGTCAATTAATTTATGTAGTCTTTATACCTCGCCAAAAGCATTTCGCTTTTACAGCTGTCGGTTTTTGCCGAATGATCTGCACCACTAACCAGGGGGAGGGGGAGGGGAGGAGAATGGGAGGGCTGGGGGAACTCTGAAGTGTGAATTGGTTAATTTGTATTATTAGCATAATTAAAATCGACAGAAGCCACGGCTGTTTAAGGCTTTTGGCACCTTTTGCGTTTCGTCTTTTTGGCTGTTAGGCAGACCGCGCTTTAGGAAATATTTGGAACTCCAGATCTCTTATTCAGTGGGTTATGTTAAGAGGACAAATGCTTTTCTAGTCTGCGCCATATTCTTTCATGAAATTTTTCACGATAAATGGCGTTTACATAAAAGCATATGGTTTAGAACGCGGTTTTGTTAAACACTGGCTAAACTCCGTTTAAATAACTGACCCATAATCTTTTAGCATACGCCACTTGCACATCTCCCATAATGCACCTTATTTGCCCCCCAAAATTTTGCATCACATTTGTTTGTCATTTCTCCTGGGTATTACAGCCTCTCAAGAGAAATTGAAAGCAATGCTTGTGCAAAAAAATTATGGGGGCAAATGAGGTGCATTATGGGAGATGTGCAAGTGGCGTATTCTCTCCGTTCGATATTATCTGCTCTTGGAAAATCGGTAATAAAATCACTCTAGAACTTTGAGCCTCTGCTCAGAGGAGTTGTAGTCTGTTTTTTCGACCCGTGCGCAACAGTATTCTGGGCTGGGGAGTACTGGACCATCCCGTATCAAATGTCACGATCCTTTGGTCAGCGTCGAAGTCGAATCATGGCGGCCTCAACACGATTTCCCTCCAGTGTTGTTAAAGTTCTAGTGAGCTTTCAGGTATAAGCGGGGAGAATTTCTCTCACTGAAAAAATCGTATCTGGACACTATAAAAGTATATTTCATTCATATGTGAATATAACGACGAAAATAAAGTCGAGAATTTTTATACTTGTCCTCAGAAATCTTCGGTAGATAGTCTTCGGACATCTTCAGCGGTCTTCGGAAATTTTCCTAAATCTTCGGTAGTCTTCTGAAGTCTTCTGAAAGAATCGGGAATTTTCGGAAAATGGCCGAAAACTCCTTGATATACTAGACAAAATAATATTGGCCTTTCTGGAGCCTTTTTTGTTTCTTTTTGGAAATATTTACTGTTTCAGTGAATTTTTACTCAGTGTGAAAATGCCTAAAATTTAACTGTTTCATGTTACAGAGCCAATAAATTAAGTGTTTAGTGTTATCGAGGTTCCCCCCATCCTCGGAGACCAAGGGGCAGTCAATCGGGTCAGAAGAAAGGGCGCGACGAAAGTTTTCATGCACGGGCGAAAGAGCCCCTGGGTACCGACCCTCACCGAACTGTTTCCAAAAATTCAAGCGGATCCCAGCTCCTAATTGGGCACAAAAAATGCTTTGTAGTATTGTGCCCAATCGGCGAACAGTTTCTCCTGAGTTCTTTTCGTGAGTTCCTACACGACGGCTATTGCCCGGCATCCGCTAAAATTTTTGGAAATAGTTCGGTGATAGTCGGTACCCAGGGGCTCTTTCGCCCGTACTTGAAAACTTTCGTCACCCTTTCTCCCGACCCGACTGACTGCCCGTGAGTCTCCGAGGATGGGTTCCCCATTCAGTGTACTGTCGCAATTTGTAATAATCATCGCACTTTGTAATACCTGCCGCAATTTGTAATAAATTCATCGCACTTTGTAAGGCCTGTCGCAATTTGTAATAAACAGTGTCGCACTTTGTAATTAAAAAAAGCTGTCGCAATTTGTAATAATTCCATCGCACTTTGTAATATTTTTTTGAGAGTGATTCAACTTACTCCGTCAACTTTAATATAATCCCAAAATTTGAGCAGTACTTCGTAAACAAAGATGATGTCGTCTGCAAGCACGTAACTTACAAAATTACTTTAATTTCTAATTTATATCTCCGCTCATTCAAACCATTTAAACATTTTTTTAAATTAATGTTGATTAGTTATCTGACGTACGAAATTCTGTATTCTTAAACCTTGCTATTGTAATAGATGGTTTGCATGCAATGGTCACAGAAGTAATAGTGGCTTCTATATTTTGGCCAGCTTAATCAGATGAGGCCTGTAAAAATTTAAAATGTAATTTACTGCAAATAAACAAAAACGTCACCAGTGGCAAACCGTCGAACCACGACAGCAACGTAAACACACAAAATCCAGTTAGTCGCTGGCCAATACCTTTGTATGTACCTGTTTTTATAAAACTCACTTGGGGTCATACACTGAGCCGTCTGACCATTTGGTCCATTATTCTCTCTTGATTTGGTCCCATATAGGAGAAAAAGGAGTATCATTCCATCTGAAAACAATTTTTTTTTCTATGGAATCCTCTAAAGCAAATACCGTGGGGATAGTAAAAAATTCTCCTTCCCTGCGGACAACTCGTAAGACCTTGCAATTCTTCCGAGCGTGTTCAGGATTATTATTTTTTTCCACAAAATGGAAAGGATAATAAACCAAACCATCCATTACTACCTGAGTTACACTACCTAAGGATCAAACCAAAGAAACAAAGCCAACAAGGTAAAAAAATGATACCCTATTTAAGGTTTCAGATCCTCAGCGATACTTACCTACGTAGACCATACATGAATATGAGATTATCCCCACCCCCCACCCCGAAGGCTTCACGTGTCACGTGAGAAGCAAACATGGATTGGGACGACGAATGCCAGGTTATTCATGAATTTTCTGTTGTTAAATGTTGCTTTTGTTATTTAAATATTTCTGAATTCAAATATATGAAACGATTCATATCTTTTTTTGGTGGCATATCACAGGAAGTTTCATGTCTTTCATAAAAGCGATTCTTGTTGGTCACGTGATTAATTAAGGCAGAAAAGACATGCATGTTTGACCAAAGAAAATAATTTAAGTTTATAACAAAGTGCGATGGAATTAATACAAATTGCGACAGCTTAGTTTATTACAAAGTGTGATGGACAGTTATTACAAATTGCGACAGCTTTTTTATTACAAAGTACGACACGGTTTATTACAAGTTGCGACAGGTATTACAAAGTGCGATGATTATTACAAATTGCAACAGCACATTCAGACCCTCCTAGTAATGTGGTATTCAGCTTATTCCTTACAGTCCTTAAGTAAAATCTATGTACCAAATTCCTGACCTCGTGAATTTTGAAGTCCTTCAGCCCAGGTGTACAGAATTTGGCAAATAAGAAACTCTTTGAAATCTTTAGGCGTAGCAGGTTCTTGTGTAGGTGGCATAACTGGCAAATTTTAGCCTCAGTTTCTTACTCGCAAGTTTTTACTGCAGACATTTCTCAAATCTTGCAGGTTATCAAGTACTAGAATTATGTGCTGTTGCCGACTGCTTCCTGTTATTAGACGTCGTGGTTCTTCAAGATCAACTCAGTTTTTTTAAATCCATAGAGAATACTGCTACAATAGTCAAGGTCTAATATCTCAAAAGCATTCACAATACGCCTATGATCGTTGATCCAAAGATAGCCGTTTGGCAAATTAACGTGCCGTCGTAAGTTAAAAGGGTTGTGTCATGGCAGTCCAGTTCATTTTGTTTAATTTTGCCAATTGCTCGCCCGTAATCGTAAATTTCCCACTCGGCACTACCAATCAGAAGCACTAACCAAATTTGGGTGGTGACGCGTCATCAGTATGGAATTTCTGCGCTCGTTTCTCAGACGTCATTTCGCGGGGAAACTATTGTGGCGTCGCGCAATGTAGGCTGTTTTCTCATGCTCAGCATGCATGTTGGCGAAATATAACGTTGTGTCCGACTTTCGGACATCTGTCCGACAGATGGCCTTAAAGACTCAAGGACCGATAAGTTACTAATACAAACTTTCGTATTTTTATTTGAAGTAAAAGTGTCCTTCTCGGTCCCAGCTTGTCCTCAACGAAACCAATATATAAGATATTTTACCGAAAATAATACTCTATTTATACCAAACGCCAAGTAACGTTTTGTTTACGGTAAAATATTTGCTCAAGTTAGCTATCTTATGAATATGGACATCTTTCAAGATGACGTCTTCGAAGAAGACATCATTTTTATGCATTTTAGTCACAATTTATATAACCGTTTAATTTTACTCAATGTTACAACTTAAACACATCACGTGAAAATAACATAACAAGTCAAGTGATGTGAGTTGGCAGATAACCTTTGCAACTAATTAAACGTTTTTGTCTGAAAATTCTAATTACACGCCAACCTTTTTAACTGATAAGTATCTAAACTAATTCCTTTCAGGACAATTTCAAAACTGTGTTTCCAAAATTATTTTTGGAGCTTGTTTTGAAACTGCCTTCAGAGTTTATATCAAGACACTTTCGGTAATCTCGGTTGTTTTAACCACACACTTTATCTCACC